AGAGCAGGTAGGCGTTAGTTAGCATTAGCACAACTTCCTAAACTGTGCAACAATCACTGATGAAATGGTACCAAAGCAACGCACTACTAACAAAATATATAACTGAAAGATTACCGCTAGTTTTGCGTCAAATGTGGTCTGAGGCGGTCCGCACCGGTAGGTCTCTCCGGAGGATACAATGTAAGCTAGCTATATTCACCCGGGCTTGATTTCTTCTTAAATCATTTTTATACTTTAGTTCCCTCTTTTCCTCCTCACTTTTGCGTCTTTTGGCCTGTGTTGCTGTGTTTGCAGTTACAAACAGGAGGTACAGCCACTTTCTGCTAATATGCTCTGAGAACGAGCGTCACGCAAAATTTCTACTCAGCACTTTTTACGGCCTGAATTCATACACAGCTGAATCAATGAGCTCAATTTTTCAATTAAATTATGGATTTTAATACAACTTTTTAAACAACTCAAAAAAATACTATCTTCTACAGAAAGACGGAATGTCTAATGGATCCAGTGGATTTATTGTTGACATAAAAAACAAATACAGTACAAATATGGCGATTTATTAATTTCTGAGCTGTAATTAACTTGTTTTAAAAACGTTGTTGTTTGACAGCCCTAATATAATTACAACAATAATGTCTTCTTCTACAGTGTGTTTTTCTCCTTGACTGTGATTGGTTGTTCATCTTTCTTGTGTGTTTGGACCTCGGCTGACTCTGGGTCGATAGGTTCAAAAACAGGTTAACCTTGAGCTTCCTGGTTTGGATTCTTCTGTGTGCCTAAAACTTTACATCTCTGTGTTCGTTAGCAACAAGACTCCAATGTCCGCCACATGAACCCTGGGGAGGACATGGCCAGAGGTCATTGGACATGTTGGACCTATGTGGTAAATGTTGGACAGGAGATACTCAAACAAATACAGGTTGAACAAGCACAAAGATCACAGTATTTGTTTAATTTGATATAACGTTTGGCTGCATCTTATCAAGAGGGCGGTGTGCAGATAGGATAGTGGGTTAAAGAGCTGTCCTCATGCTACCCTGACACACACACACAAACACACACATATACACACACCCACACACAGACACACACAGACACACTGTGAACTTGTGACCAACTTCTCTGGTTCTGTGTGCAGTAAACAGTACCTGCTTTAACAGTCTTTTTGACTGTCGACAAAATATGGCTGAACTTTGGCTCTGTGTATCCTCTGCTGGTGTTTAGTTTAGGACCCTCACGGCTCTCCACAGACATGCCTGAGCAATAACATTCACATTATCTAGAGTTATTTTATATTAAACAGATTCTATTTGTTCTGTCCTCTACACATTTAACAATGTTATTAACGTTTAACAGACAGCACAAAAATATAAATATAAGATAAGATGTACATTTCTCCATCAGAGATCAATAAAGTCAATGTCACATCTGGTATGGACAGAATCACTCAAGACTGCGCCAAATAAAGAAATGTGCAAACATGTTAAATGAAGGATATATTATGTACAATAAAAAAGAAACAAGAAACAGAGCCAATAGTAGTGCAGGTTTTTCAGTCCTAGTGCAAGTGACTTAAAGTGACTTATTGTACAGTCTGACAGCGGTCTGATGTTCATCCTCAATACAAAAATATAAAATATAAACGGACACAAACATGTGACGGTCCGAATGATTAAACAAAGTCCGTACATGAAACTGAGACGTCATATTTGATCTGATGAAACCTGCAACACGTCTGCAGATGGGAACGATTCACTCGATGGTTCAACAACTTCAATAAAAGCAGCTACAGTTTGTTGTGGTGACGGTGTTATGCTGTGTCCCTCTAAACATGATCTTTGTCACCTCCATCTGTGGAATCGCCCCGAGGGAAGAGCAAAACAAAAGACAAACAAGTTGTTGTTGTTGCAAACACCTGAAATGTCAGATACTGGATGTAAAACATGACCCGAGAAAACTCAAACCTAATGAATTCAAACTGATGTGAGCTCCTGCTGTGGACAACAGTCATTTCACTTTAAAATAAGAGCCTTTATCCACAAGGAACACAACATACAGGCCCTGCTTACACTGAGACGCTGCAAAGCAATTTGCAAAACCCACCTTTTAAATTCGAAGTGTACAGCGTCTACACGGCGATGCAAAGCAATGTAGTTGTAGCGCCCGGCCTGTAGGGGGCAGAGAAACGTAACAATGCGACAATGAATGTATGTATATATATATATATATATATCTATCATCCACCCATTTTCTTCCCCTTAATCTATTTCTGGGTCGGGTGTGGCAGTCAGAGCTGCCCAAGGACACAACGATCGCAGTCATCAGTGAGAGTCGTGAAGTAGGTCTTGTGGTGGGCTCGAACCCACAACCTTCAGGCTCAAAGGCCAATGCATGCTCTACCAACTGAGCCACTATCAAATATATACAATACAAATATCTTGTATAAAATATATTTGACATTAGGCAGTATTGCACATTGCACATTATTGCAGTATTTAAGTACAGACTCATGCCATGTCCACGCGTAGCCGGACCGAATATATCCCCCTCCCCTCCGTTCATAAAATAATTTGCATCAACACATAACCGAACATTCATAACATTCCAAACATGTGCGTCCTCTGACGTCCTGCGTTGGGGAAAAATACAGAAGTGGGCGGAGCACTTTTACAGTCATGTAGAAACTCAGGATAAAGACATATGTTTACAAGCACTGACCCCCGCCTCAGTCCTGGTTTAATCCTGGTTTAGCTCCTGTTTTGGTTGTTTTTGAGCGTGAGTCCCTGTGATCACAGCTCTCTGATGTGGAGGATGTTTGCTGCTGTGAACCGCTGCAGCAGTGAACAGTTTTTAAGGCAGTAAGATCCATGCTTCAGTGATCAGAGGTTGCATGTTTTGTTTGTTGTCATTTTGGTACACACTATGACGTGCGAAAACGCAAAACTCTGGTTATCTCTATCAACACGCAAATACATAAACGGAGTTTTCAAAAATCCGAACTTTGCCCGGATATTTGTTATATATTCGTTTATGATGCGTTGTCATGTGAATGACAGGTGCAAGTGAAGACAAATATCTGCGGTTTAGCAGATACCCGGCTTCGTGTGGACGGGGCCTCAGACAGTCACTGAAGCTGCTCTCCAGAGCAGACTAGACAGAAGCACTCCTGCTGTTGTTACGGCAACAGCATCTGTCAATCACACTCAGCGGCAGACTGCCCTCCCCTGGCACAGGTCAAGCCTCATATCATGCAAGAAGCTTCATTCATGCAGCAACCCTCCTCCTCCCAGTCACGCCTCATCAGCTGAGCCACTTTTTCACCCTTCTCCTGCTCCCACCACCAGGGTCTAGGGCCTGGGGAGTTTTGATCGACAGTATATCAGCTGTTCCACATCTCCCAGGTCATGTGGCCCGTCCCAGCCAACGCCCTCGTCCACTGACCTTGTGTTTCTGCAGTTGTTATGGAGAGTGACCCTTGTAGGTCACAGAGGCTCTCCCTCACAGTTGTGATGTCACACAGAGGCTCTCTCACACAGCTGTGATGTCACACAGAGGCTCTCCCTGACAGCTGTGATGTCACACAGAGGCTCTCCCTCACAGCTGTGATGTCACACAGAGGCTCTCCCTCACAGCTGTGATGTCACACAGAGGCTCTCACTCACAGCTGTGATGTCACACAGGTTTGTGTGGAGCCTGGTTCCAGAACACTGCTTTAGACTGAAGTTAGACCTCAGGTCTGTGTTTCTGTGGCCAGTGTTCTGTTACTACAATCACCCGATGCTATCATTCCATAAAGCTCCATGTGGACCATATTTTTTTACAGGTAATTCTCAATTGTTAAAGTGTCAACTCATGATTTCACAAACTGTGAAATTGTGAATTTCTGATGTTGAGCAGGATCAGTGTGAATCAGTAAAATTAAAACACCATGTCCTCTCTCGGTCCTCACCATGTCCTCTCTCGGTCCTCACTCGGTCCTCACCTTGTCCTCTCCATGTCCCTTGTCCTCTCCACCTGCTCCTTCACAGATCGATGCAGTAAATAAGTTAAAAATAGCAGTTGAGCCAAACACAGATGTCCTTTAAACCACATCATTGACACAGCGTTGGGTAAAAGTCCAGATTTTTATCACTTATTAACGATTGCTTATTTATCTGCAATGTGACTGAAATTGATTTGAAGATTTCACTGATAAGAAGTTTGAATACAACAAGCCCCTCATGCTGCTAACATGTATACAACTATATACGTCTGAATATACAGGATTTATACTTGCTTCTTTATTCTACTAAAGTTAGAGATTTTATACCTACTTCTTTAATATTCTAAAGTTAGAGATTAAATATGTGTTTCTTTATTCTGCTAAAGCTAGAGATTGTATACTTTATTTTTTATTATGCATAAGTACTTACTTTTTATGTATGTGTGATGTTGTATGCGATCATATTCCCCCTCCACATTGTTACTCAAGCTCTATTTTCAGCCTGCAGTCAAGCATTCCGTCCTTGCACCTCGCTCTGGGTCACTGTGATCCCAAATACCTCCTATCTCTCACAACCATCTCCATTTCACCCTCTGACCAGCGTGAGACTGTCCCACCAGTAGGGGTCCGCCTTGCTGCTCAAACACCAACTGAATCAACAGCCCTGAGGCTTCCCAACCCCCAACCATTCCTCCCCTCTCCACTGGACCACTGCCACAGCAACACCAGCCCCCATTGGCCGAGCGAAACCCTACCACCTTCTCTCATTGGCTGCAGGGCGAACCACGTGAAAGGCTATGCAAATGCAAAGGCTGAGTGGGGGTTGAAATCCGGGAGAGCAGAGCAAGCCTAGGCACTTGCACACGGGTCAGGGGAGAGAGGGAGAGACCAGAAACCAGAGCGCTGCCTAAAAAGGGGGTGTGACGCAGTTATGCACTTTATCAAATAGAAGAAAACTGAGAAAAGTTTCAAGGATTGACACGTTTTGCTGTGTACTTTTGGATATATTTCCTCTTCCATGAGTGCAGCCAGGTAAGGTGATGCTTGTTTGGTGTTGGTTGGAAAGTGGGGGAGAATGTGGTTCTCTGCAAAGACTTGGAATGCCTTTTCTTTGCACAGTTGGAACAGTCAAAACTTGAATTATCTTATTCAAAACTGTGTCCTATTCCCACCACTGTCAAAGTGCCACAAAAAGTACATTTCAAAGTTACAACAAAATTTAAATCTTACATTTGGTGGACTTTAATGTGAGCCAAAATGTCACCAATGCAACTCAAAACTGAGAAAAGTCATACTAAGTTATTAAACTGACTCACTGAACCATTACAGACACAGAGACACCAGTGCGAACCAATCCACATACTTTTTTACTGGCAGCACTGCAGATTGTCTGGTTACGCCGACAAATGACTTTCATTCATGTTCTAGGTGTAATATTTTAGACCAGGAATATGAGCTTATGTGATCAGAAAAAAGTAACTGGTCCAAAACCATTTCTGGCTAATTAGAATCAAGTCTGTTTGTCTTACCACAAAAGGCAAAATAGTCTTGCCTAAAATTTAAAAAAAATTACATTCAAAGTTGTCAGAGACATTTTGAAAGAAGTCAATTATGCTGTACAGTATATAGAAGTATAGTCTGAACTCAAGATAAAATGACCCTAGAAATATATTCTAAATGAGATTATCAGTCGTCAGTTTCAAAAGACCCACATGTCATCAAATCTCCTTTCACAACACTTTTCTACAACATCTCAGAAACTCCCTAAAGTATTTCCCATTCTCACACTGCTCTCCCCTCCCCCTCTGTCTGCAGCGTCCTCCGGTCTTTCAGTCCCTCTGCGATGCCCGGCCCCGTCATGCCCATGGACGTCGCCATGCGCTTCTACATCAGCCACTCCCCCCCTCCTCTGCGGGGCTTCCTTAGCTCCTACGAGGACTTGCAACGCAACAAGAAACGGACCAACAAAGTGGAGAAGTCTCTGTACAAGCCCCTGCGGCCGTGCCTCAGCTCGCAGCAGACCGGACCAGACGGCACTCGATGGGCGGCGAGCAAAAGCAACAAGAAGCGAGTGGTGTTTGCCGACATGAAGGGACTCTCTCTCACCGCCATCCACGTCTTCTCCAAGTTTGACGAAGACTCGTACCAAAGCAGCGAGGACCTGCAGTTCGACATGTGTGATTTGGAAGCGGCCACGGTGGACTTAAAAATCAGCTCCAGCCGCCACCTCTCTCTGGACTTCAAACCCCCGTCCTCAGACTACCTGGACTTCCGGAACCGGCTGCTGCAGAACTCTGTGTGTCTGGAGAACTGCTCGCTGCAAGAACGCTCGCTCACCGGCACCGTCAAAGTTCGCAACTTTGGGTTCGAGAAGTCGGTGCACCTGCGGGTCACCTACGACTCCTGGGCCACGCACACGGACGTAGAGTGCGCCTTCATGAACAACGTGTACGGGTGCCAGGACAGCGACACCTTCACCTTCGCGCTGGAGGTTCCCGCCTACGTCTCGCCGCAGAACCGCGTGGAGTTCTGCGTGTGCTTCCAGACACAAGGGCAGAGTTTCTGGGACAACAACGATGGGAAGAACTACGCGCTGAAGCATGTGGGGGTGCACGGGGAGGAGCTACACGTCCCTGGGGGGAAGCAGGGCTGCGCCAAGCTCCTGGACGCAGAGTTCGATCAGTTCGGAAGCCCCCGCACTTCCAGCGGGATGTTTCCCGGCTGGCAGAGCTGGGGGACGGTGGAGAACGCTGTGCCTTATTGGTAAAACAAACAGAAGTGTGGTTCTGGCTGGGATTTGAAAGGGAAGTTTGGACTTGGACAGGATCCCAGTCTAGACTCGTGGACCTCTGCATCAGACTGAACGCGTTGACTTAAAATGACTTGATTTCAGAATCTAGACTTAAAGGTATATAGGAGGATTTATCCAAATGTTAGGAAAGGACTGCCCTCTACAATTTTTGAACAAGTCTTATTTGACAAGCACGGATCCCCAGAATGATTGACAGTTGGGAGGACCAATAGTCTTGATGATCCACCCGGAAGTAGAAAATCCTCCTAAATACCTTTACGTTTTCCTGAATATTTGAAATATTTCATCAGAATTTTCACATTGCAGTATTTACCTTGAGTTTTAATTGTGTTCGTAAGTTCCTTTCACGCACCTTCAAATGAGTAAAACAATCTTAGTTCATTGAGTTCATGAACCAAACGTGTCAAAACTACTGAAGTTTAGAACAAAATCTTGCATTCAAGTCACTTTAAGACGTGGAGAGATGCGGAGCAGAGGCCCCTGATCTGCAATATGCTGACCTGCTTTTGCTGCACACCAGGAGCGGAAGAGAGAACCCTGGTGTGTTTCTTGAATTTTGTAAAGGAAATAATATGAATGACGAGGAATATAATCGTGTGCCTTATTTCGCAATCCGCTGAAATGTCCAGGCTCCTGAATATGCACTGATGTAGATGTCGTGGTTCTGTGACGTCTGCCGGAGGCTCCTTCATATTGAAGGTCCGTGTGAGCAGCGGTCCTTCACTTTTACTTTTGCCCCATCGCAGAGAGACGAGAAAAAAACTAAAAAACTGGGTTAAACGAAAAATCCTTATGTAGAAGTAACCTAAACCTAGGAGAAATTGTCAAAACTAAAACTGGATTTTTGCGTAGCCATAAATAGAGGCTTTTGTGTGGCATAAAATTAAACCTAAATACTTTCTATTTTTCAAAGTTACTATATTGTATCTATTTTTCTCAGCAGAGACGAGAACTGAGTCACAATAGTTAGGTTTGAAAGGCCTTGAATTCTAACAATGATGAAGAAAATACGGAAGCAAATGCAATGAATTAAGAAGAAAGGGTGGAGGAAGTGTAGAGTTTGAAATGTGTACGGCTCCTTATACAGCTCCTGATACAGCTCCTGGTACAGCTCCTGGTACAGCTCCTGGTACAGCTCCTGGTACAGCTCGTCACAGTTGGTTCCATGATAATTGATCTGTAATTGTCCTATTGCCAAAGTCTCATTTTATAAACTTGTGGGAAACTATTGCAAAGTATGTCTATGGCTTCTCTCGACACAGAAACCCTAACCCTTTCCGATGTAAAGCACACTAAGCATGGGTGACCAGGTAGAAAGACCGAGTCCACACCCAGTGAACGCGCAAAGAGTGTTTACTGATTAAAACCTATATCTTTTTAATCTCTGTCTTTCAAATGACGTGAAGCAGATAACTTAAACCTCACTCTAAAAACATTTACATTTCATTCACAACTTTTCAGGGCCACTTATGGGTGTGAGGTGAGACAATCAAAAAAACATAACATGAAGAAATATGCTTCAAAAACTGAAACAAATCTTATTTTTATGTAATTCTTTGGCGTCATTGTCGCCTTGTGCCTTGGACCGGGACTGCCCCATGGTTCTGGTCGCCCGACTGCTGCACCTTGTATTCACCAGCAATGTTTTTAAACCGTCCTGCCTCGCCGCCGTCGCTTGTAAAACCGTAGACTTAGCTTCTTTAGTAGATCCAGGAAAACCCGAGCTACGACACAGGCCCTGGGGGAGCACATGGTCTGGGAGGGCATCAGGAGGTTCTGTCTGTGGTTTCACTGAGAAATGTCTAAAGCCGTGTTCAGTGTTTGTGTTGAATTGAGTGGTGTTGATGATGATGAGTAGAGATGTGTAAGGGACGGGACAGAGTCTGTGGCGGCCATTTTGTGTTTCCAGAAGAGCAACACATCAATGTATTTGGACTTCACAAAGCTGTCGATTCAGCAGCACAGATCAGAGAATCAAACAGTTCAAACACAAGATGAAAAACACATACAGATTGACAAATAATGGTAAAACTACTAATGCAGTACAGACGCCCTGAAAGCCAATTATTCTTTTAGTTCATTAATTTTAATGTCTGCTTTTATAGTAGTGATTCATGTATTTTTTAATGGTTTCCAAATGTATTGCTTCACTTTTAGGTTTTTTTGTGTTTGTTTTTGTAGTAAAACCCATTGTTTTCCCCTTTCTTTTTGAGCTCTTCAAAACTAATGGAAAAACGAAAAATAAAATAAGACAACATTCTAAAATTCCAAAATTATGAACCAGTTGCAGAAATGATCTAATTATCTGGTTTGATAATTGTAATCATTTTGATAGGCTTTGAGGGGCTTCGTACTGTCAGTGGATCATGGGCATTAGATAAAGAGACTAAAGTCGAGGAGGACACAGGTCACTGAAGGCTCCGTCCCTTGTGCAGCTCTGGTTCAGAGAGTGACTGGAGGATGATCTGATGTCATAATATTGTTTGAATGTGACTTTGTGTTCACCTGAGTGTGTGCGTCGACCACACACACACACACACACACACACACTACTGTTCTCTGAATAAAGATCTTTCTTTATTTGTGCTGACACCGCTCTCTGTCACTCATTCCACACACAGCACAGTTTACAGCTTTTATGAACTGATCTTCTGCACAGTTTATTTTTATTAAGATGAAGATTAGGAAATGGTCCCACTGTGGGGAAATGTCAGTGTTGCATCAGCAGTTACACAACAGCAGAATGAGGTGCACACAGCACAAGATAAATGAACAATAACTCCATAAAAAAAACTAAAAAAAACATCTCTAGCTTTACCATAATAAAGAAGATAGAATCTCCATCTTTAGCATAATAAAGAAGCAAGTAGCTCAGTTGGTTGGCCTATGGGCCTGAAGGTTGTGGGTTTGAGCCCGCCATGGGACCTGCTCCCACTAATGCCTGGTGTGGTTGTGTCCTTGGGCAAGACACTGAACCCCACATTGCCTAAAGTGCTCGCTGAAACACCAAAGCAGTGGCACCGCTGAAGTAGCAGCCATCTTCCTGTGGACCCCCACCCTGCAGAGGATCAGTGAGGGACTGCAGGTCTATGAACATTGGGTGGCAGCTCTCATTGCCACCCCCCGACCCAAAAATGGATTAATGAAGGGATATAAAATGAATGAAGTAGCGAGTATAACATCTCTGGCGTTAGCATAATATAAAAGCAAGTATGAAAAAAGAAGATGGAATAGAATTTCTAGCATTAGCATAATAAAGAAGCTATTATAAATCCTGTATATTCTAATGCAGACATTTATAGCTGTATGTTTACATCTGTACTTGTTAGCATTAGCATGAGGCTCTGTGACACGGAGACACATGTGGTTCTATGTCGCACATTCTGACATTATTCAAAGTATTGCACATTAATATTGCACATGTGAGGTGAGGTCGTTATCTACAGAGTCAAGCTGTTAATTTGACCTGTCTACTGCACTTGTACAATGCAACACTGGAGTTTCCCATTTTTAGCCATTATTAACAGAGCCAGATAATGCTCATATATGACTATATATTTATTTTAGAAGGCGATGACATCTGCCTTTTTTGTTTATTGTGTGAGAAAGAACAACTGACAGCTCATGCAGTCAGACACCCAAAAAGTGTATAGCTGTTGGAACTGTCTGAGGCCCTGTCCACACGTAGCTGCTAAACCGGAGATATTTGTCTTCTTTTACACCTGTCATCCACATGATAACGCATCATAAACGAATATGTAAAAAAAACTCTGGGCAAAGAGAAGATCTTTGAAACTTTGTTTATGCATTTGCGTGTCGACAGAGATAACCGGAGTTTTGTGTTTTCGCACGTCTTTTGCGCCAAAACAACAACAAAGGAAGCATGGATCTTACGGCCGTGAAAACTGTGGTTCCACCGGATCATTCTGCGGCGCAGCAGCGGTGGGTTCAGCGGCGAGATGCAGCAAAGGCAGGAGATGAACATCCTCGCTCCACATCAGAGAGCAGCAAAGTGGTCACGGGACTCACGCTCGAAATAACCAAAACAGGAGCTAAACCAGGATTAAACCAGGATTAAACCAGGACTAAACCAGGGCTGAGGACGAGGGTCAGTGCTTGTGAACATCTGTGTTCACCCTGAGTTACTACTGTGACTGTAAAAGTGCCGCTACAGAAGTACCAGCGTTGGCATCAAAGCTCCGCCCACTTCTGCGTTTCCCCAACGCAGGACGTCAGAGGACGCACATGTTTGGAATGTTATGAATGTGATTGAAAACGCCGATGTTCGGTTTTGTGTGGATGAGTTTTCTTTTTCGAAAACGGAGTAATGTGAATAGAAATTATTTTGTAAACGAAGGGGGGGAAATATTGGGTTTTAAAAATACCCAGCTACAGTAAGTGTGGACATGGCCTGATTCTCTGATCTGTGTTGGCGAATCGACAGCTCTGTAAAGTCCTCAGAGATAAGTAGCGCTTGGTAAAGGTGTGGCATCACCACCGCCTCAATAGGGCCGTTGACATATTTAGCACGTAGCACTTGTTTGTACTTGTCCTTCAGCCTCAACAACAAAAGTTTCATCTGGAACTTATGTGGACAAACTGAACACGTTCAAGATTCAAGAATTTATTTGGCATTTGCAGTAAAACCACATTGTAAAAATTGTGCAAGACACCCCCAGTGTGCACCAGGAGCTCTTGCAAAGGTTTAGCAATACCATCGGTGCACATATAACACTTTATATGAGTGTGTGTGTGTGTGCACACAGTATATAAAATGTGCACGTGCAAACAAGTGCTACATGGCTAAATGTCACCTGCACTATTCAGGCGGTGGTGAGGCCTCACCTTTACCAAGCAGTACTTATCTCTGTTTTGTTTGTGATGGGACACAAGTTGGGAGCTTTTTATTACATTTGAGGCATGCTGAGTGTTTTTATTCTGTTATGGATTTTAAT